AATTTACAAAAGCATATATATATATATATAACAGAGAGTTAAGAGGTGAGAAAGTAGACTTAGGTCAAGTTATAGGGACATATTGACTTTCAATATTGTTTTGTTTTTCATTCATTGGGAAATACAAAAACCTTTATTATAATGAATATCATATACCCAAATTTTTTCAAACTGTTAAAAGTGAACTTGGTTTGGACATACAAAACTAAAACTTAATTAGAGAGGTAAAAAAGTTCTAATATGAATCGCAAATTGTTCTCACAACATTTCGGTCTTTACAACGAAACCCATATTTTTTCATAACGATTGAAGCTTAATGAAATCTGAATATCTTTTAGATTATGTCGTGGTAATTGAGACAGTCGGTTTCTAAAACATATGTAGCTTATTGAGATAAAACGAAGTCCCTTTAAAATTATTAAATTTGTGGAGAATAGACTGATTTTTAAATGGACTGCATCACAATTAATGAAGTCCAGTTGTCTTTCGACGATCATGCATTCGATACCTTACAAAGCTGTGATTCCTAACCGCTCAAGAATTCTGCTATATCAAGAAACAGATGTTCGGTGCTTACAACGATTTTAAGCTAATACGGGTTGTAAAATCTATCCTGCAAATTACTTTCAGTTTCCTACTGACTAACTTAAGAGAGATGTCTATAGTTATTTTTCTATGCACAGTTGCATTCTTTTGAGGTTCTCCAATGAGGAAACAACGTCTTATAACTAACTGACTTGCTGAAAGACTGATAAAGAAGACCATTAAATTGAAGTAAAAGAGATGATGGTTTTTGTCACAAGAGCAGGAATTTTCCATTGTAAGGAAGGTGAAGATCAGTGAATGCTGCTCATAACGTACAATAAAAAGAACGTTGGTATATTTGACCGGATAACCGATTATATAATAAAATTGAGTGAAGTAGCTTAGAGAAATACTATTTTTGAGATGATAGGAATATCCTCAGTTGTCCTGTTTCCTTGAATTTTTTGGTGTGTTACTAGAAGTTTTCCTAAGCTTATGATTAAATTTCTAAACTGTAATTCAGTCAAACGTAAATCTATTACATATCATAATGAACAAGATAACTTAGAGTTTCGTTATTTGTGTTTTTGGAAAAGTTTATTCATCATGGAAAATCTTATTGATAATAAATTACTGTACCTATTTATATTGAGTACTAATGCGGTATTCCGTTTAATGACTAGGTTGGACTGGAGTGTTTGGTCTCTGTCAACATGTCAGCCCCTATTACTAGGGATTTCTGGTACACTCAGATGATATACCCTAAATAGAACAAAAGATGTGTCTTGGATTCCACTGCCAGTCACCAACAACCTAATAGTATCATGTTAATCTTCAATTATCGTAGAAGCATTCATACTAGGAACCAACGTGTCAGCGGAACTGGACATCCCTGTTTAGTATAATCAGTCAGAGTTCAGTAGAAAATAATCTTGAACAAATAATAATTGGTGACAGCTGCACAAGGGGTTTCTCACGTGTTTCAGACGGCCTAGTGGATAACCATCAACCAAATAACGAAATGAAGTCTTTTTATTTGACTTCAGGTGAATGTTATCAATAATAAAGGCTATCAAACTATTTTTGTCATTGTATAAAGGTGATCTAAAGCGACGTCTGTGTGTTACCTGATTTAGAACAATAAGCTATCGGTTGGTGGTTAGAACTGTCTTAGAAGTGTGATTTTTAGCTGGATTCTAAGTGGTAGTTTAAAAGGTAGAAATCTTGCGAAACTTGAATTTTCAGCCCTACGGAGATTTAGAGTGGCCTTATTTGTTTCACATATAATTCTTTTAACACCTGTCAATCTTTCTAACATGTGATAAACATTATGTCAGCGACATTAAGATTTCCTGTTTTTATTGATTTAATCAAATCTCTGCCTATATATGACAATGGAAAGAAAAACACACACTCTTCTTTGGTGGTCCACACAGTTTTTCTGTTACATATACTGTGACTGTAACCAACTGCTTTGTTGTCATAATTGTGAAAGAGATGAAGTGAATAATATAATTACATCTCAGTGCACCTTCATGCCCACTTGTCACTTTACGTCTCTTAGCCTAATAATTAATCATACATAAATGGTCAATGGAATGTATGTAAAACACAGTGAAGGAGAAAGCAGGAAATAGGACTACCTATTGGAAATAAAAGCGTATGTAACTTGTTTTAAATATAAAATATAAATGTTCAACAACTGAAACCTCACCATAGTGACCATAATGAGTGTAGGTATAATTTATAACTTACTGAAGTATCTATGCACTCATCTTTGTTTGTGTAAAACAATAATGAAGAAATGTAGTGATAAATATTTTAAGCACAGATATCTGAATAAATAAACTCATCTTCTTGTATGCACTGTTTATTGGACAGAATGTACTGTTTAGAAATATTTGTAGAATGATTCTCCTGAAAACTATGATCTTTGATCATTGTTGAGGTGCGTCGTTGACATCATGAGCTGGACGTGTCTGAGGATAAAGCGGCTTAAGCATTTTCCTTAAGGAAGTAGTTCTGTGTATACTTCATGGACAGAGAATGTAAGCCTGGTCAATCATTACTTGTCATAAAAACAACAGATGACAGCAGGGATTTTTAAATGGTGTAGGATAACAACAAGGTATGTTTGAAAAAATCAAAAATCACTTATTTTGAGACATTTATTTTGTTCTCTGTGGGTATCTTCAATATCAGTAATAAAGACACAAGATGTTTTTACTCGAAATCGGACTTAAAGGCTAGTATGTTGTATTCAGAAGGCAGTCGACTCTTCAGTATTCAAATGCTTAACATACCAGCCATAGTATTAATTAGACAAAAAAGCTTTATTCTTCAAAAACTTTACAGACAGAGGTAAGATTATATAATCCTAAATCTTTGGGGTTGCCTTCAAATATATTTTAGACTTATGAAAAACATTAAGACAACGTGAAATGGTCATGAGAGGTTCTTATTTCATAAATCATGCAAAACACTGCATGTTATTCATGCAAAGTTGACTATAAAATTTAAAAACAAGAACTGACTGCATAGGAACAGAGAAAGCTGATTACTATGTTTTGTAACTAGGATCACTATCATGAAAGTTGTGTGCATGCAGTCAAAATGTTTCATATAAGATAGACAATGAAAATCACTTTTTAACCGATTAAGTTTTGAAATAACAAACAAATGAAATTAATTAAAATCAATTTGACGACTGTATTAGGGTCTGGGAAATAGGAATGTAGTTTAAAGTTAATGTTACAAGAAATCTGTAAAGGCAGAGATGAGAAACAGGAAAAAATTGACTAAATGATCTTTAAAAAAACAATTACAAAAGATGACAGCAGCTCTTTTGTCTATAGTGTCTGTCTGAAATCAGATGATTTTCAAAAAATAGAGGATCCTGTGGATTAGAGAATACTATTTTACTGAAGGAAAGATCTGTTGCTGCTTAGCTGTCTGACATGAAAGGAACTTTACGAGCCAACTGACATATTACTTATGAGTTTACACTTCATCAAGAAATATATACAAATAATAAATGATAAATGGGGCAGAGCGCATACTTTGCTTTCTTTTTTATCTGTTGTGGTGATAATGTTAGGTGGCTACGAAATATCCATACGATGATATTAACTAAAAATCTCACGTTTCGAAAATCAGATATCAGCTTATAAGCTGTTGGAATACAAAAATCTGACCTTCAAATTTTAAAATGTTATGCCGATCGATATGTCCCTGTTTTGATAACTTTAGGTATTTTGAATTATTTGGAAATCATAACAGCTTTATTTATTCAACTTAATCAGATTTTTCTAATCATTTCACAAACACTTCAGAAGTAGGTTTGTTCTAATCCTGTAGACAGTGTATACTTGTTAATTCCCTTAATTATTTTTAAGTAATGCTTAATGATAGATGATATTATCTTTTCCCTTTAGAATAGTCGTCTACTGACTCAACGAATAATCTGTATTGAGAATTGTCTAACAACTCCAACTAGTCTCGACCACTTAAAATTTTCTTATATTCTGTTTCTGTTAAACCTTTGTTTACTTTCTGAAGAGAATCTGTAACATTAAGTATGTGCAGTAAGAATTTAAGAAGCAAAACTATTTCAAACCCTTTTCAAGTGTTGGGTAGTAAAGCTGATAAAAAACTCCTATGGTTTAGTAATGTTTAGAGGCGAACCAGTAGTTCGAGACTTTTCAATTGTGAAAAAGGAATTCATTATGTTTCTGCGCCTTTTCCGCGTCTTTGAATGCAGTATTCAAACGAGGTCTGATGTAATTCTTCGTACATTTATTTGGCAAATAAAATTTAGTCCTTTGATAGACAAACAGTGTGATTTCTACTTGAATAATCATAGGTGTGACTATCAAGCCTTATTAATAGCTATTTTTATCCAGAACTCATTTAATCTGATTCTTAATGATTTATTTTGTCTTCCACCTAATTTACCAGACGCAATAAACTATGGATTGTTTTTTGAACTATTTCTTCTTAGCAGGCCATAAAATGAAAATATAAATATTATCTTGTGTGAAAGTATGACCGATGACATTTAGTTTAAGCCACCGGTTTTGATAGAATATTGAGTGGTTTGTACCTTAATGTCAGCCTATGCAAAAAAAAATGTCTTAGATATTAAATGTCAGCAGGAATGCTTCACTTGCTATGGAGTTAATGAAAGTGTCAGCATTGTTCAGTGAGACAATTCTTTTTCATCTAAGAGAATAACTGTGTGCTGAATTTTACCCTAATATTAACACTGGGGAATCGAAACCATGGAAGATCGGCTTAAGTTTCCAGACAGATAAAGTGATGATAAGTCACAGTCACAATGTAAAAACAAGTGTTTGATTTCTCTTGTACGCTCTAGAATACACATAAAATATGAGTAGTGATTTCATTTGAAATGTGTGACTGAATTCCTTATTAAAATTAAACCCTTTCCTTTTACTTTTTTTAATTCTGTTTAGATTACCTTTCATCAGAAGCATTCAGAGACCTTGTGCAGGAACTGATCACTGAACGCTCAGTGTTGGACGAAGGTTTGTAGCGTTGTCAAGTTCAGAGGCACAGAATTTGACCAATGCAAACTACAGTCTAAAAGTTCAGTTTATTAAAGACGAGATAAACTGAATCTGACAAGAATTAAATACCATTCATATTATTCTTGCTGTTCTCAACAAGTTGGTCGATATATATATTTTCGTGGTACTAATGAAAAACAAATACTACTATTCACTATTGTTAGTCACATTGTTGTCAGTTCACTTGTCTAAGCAGTCGACAATTAATACTGGTGAGTTATATGCTTGGGAGATGCCATTGAATAGTTGTACTTATTCTATTTTTTCAAATCCTATCAGTTACTAGTGTGAGTTGAATTCATAAAATTATAAATTAATACCCTCAACTTGAAAGTTTAATGAACAAAACAGTTTTATTTTATCTGTTATATGATATATATATATATATAGGTGTCACACCTATATCATATATATAATGAACAGGATCTGAAGACTATATTTCCCGTCTATAGACTTCAAGAAGAAACTAAGCTTTTTAATCTGATAACGATGATCGTGGAATTTAAAAGACAGTTTTTTCAACAGTTGTGATAGTGGAATCTCGTTTGACTTATTCAGAAAGAAACTGCAAAACCTAAATAAAATCCCATTGTTTACTCACTGAATTGTAAATATTACATATGATTATGAAGTAATCGTCATTACTGTTATTTCTGAAATTCTAAAACAACCTAAGCTGAATGGAAACCAGAAAAACAAGATTGAGGCTTTTCTGTCTACTTGTAAATTTGTGTTACAGAAAAGAAAAACCCAGACTGAATTTCGTGTGTACTCACCTTTAAGTGTTTCCTGTGCCAACTGTAGACAAAATAAACTACATGCATTATTTTTGTTTTACAGAAAGAATTTCCGACATATTGAGGAGAGAAAATAAATTGCGTTGCATGTTTGAGTCAGTAAATGAAAAACTCTTCCTCAAGTTCGTTTTCACTTGTTGATATCTGTTTTGATGGTATTTAACAACTTTTAGATAGTTTATATTTTTCAGGAGTTTGAAATCAATCAGTGGTGAACTTCCTCACCGCACAGTTAAGTTACTATAAGCCTCATTAAATCCTTCAGTGGGTGTTTTAGATGCCACTATAACTCTGACATTCTATCTTCTTTGTTCATTTTGTAGCTAATAGTTTGCCTCTTCAAAAAAATAACTTTTATTCATAATATCTTTCTGGGAATTAACTTTACTATTTATGCCCGCATGTGTTCACTTCAAAATATTTCATCATTGTATGCTTGTTTAAACATTCAAAAAACGAAACTATAGACATTTAGTAGAAAAAAATCCAATGGTATATGAGATATGTCATACGTTAACAAGTGAATACTTTAGATGCCAGCTGTCTGGTGAGAAGTGTATGGCGAACACTGATTATTTTCACATAAATTAACCAAACGAAAATATATCAGATACCAGAATACTGGTTGATTAAAGGAAGCTAATGCAAGTGTTTTCAATATGCACAAAGTAATAAACTGATATGAAACCCAATATTGTGATGAACTAATCTTCCTTTAAAGAAAAAAATACTCATCTTTAATTAAAGTAAAGCCATCAGACATTCACTGACTCAAAATGATTAGCTTAGGCATAATACTAGTCACCAAGTACAAAGGCTACCACAGTGAGTTTACATAGGCTTTTGCTTGTAGATATGTTGATTAGGTGGCTAGGACATTTAACAAGGATTCTGAATTCAAATAAGTACACATAAGCAAGTAATCGATAATTCTACTGAAAACAGTTCAGTGCAAAGTGCCGACGCAAATATGAAAAGTCTTATGAACATCAGTTCTATGTAATCAAAAAGAATCAGAAGGTTAACACAGATGCCGCTTACTTTTCTGTTTGCATACTGCTGTTGTTGTGACAACTTAAAACTGGTGTATATCTGCTCAGCGATCCGCCTGATGCCAACTGTCGGCCATAAATCTGCTCATTCAATTCTCGTGTAATTTACCACGAGTTCCAGTTTTCTTCATAAAAATTCGTGCTGATTGTGGAAGGTGTGCTAAAATCTGTCTTATTTTGTGTGACTAATTGGGTATAATACTCTTTACCGAAATAATATTTTTTCAATAATAATATTCATTGGTTTGAATATTCAAAACAAATGTGTTGAGAAGCCGATTTATTGCCATTAGCTGCTATTCCTGTCTCACTTTTTATTCATAGTGACGATAATAGTATTTTTCAGTATTACACATAATATGCGTTTAACCCACAGTGAATGTGAGAAGTTACTCAATACCTCTTTAAAGGTCATAATGATTAATTACGTTTGCGTCTCGTTCCTATCCCTAAACGTTCACAAGAAACCTATATTTTTGCTGCTAGTACGTCAATATCCCTTTCTTGTATCAGACTACTTACCGACATCGGCCCCTATGCATTCTTCACACTTAATAGTTACTGCTTACAAAATAGTTTTTCTACCAACCAATACCTCAGATGCTGAATCCTTTTATCTAGATTGTTTTAGTTCTTGGTAAAGTTTCAAATGTCCATTTGGATAATAAGTAACATTAATTATGTCAGCTGATGAGTGTATTCATCTATTTTTGCTGGTTCCTGTTTACGCTGAGAAAAAGCAAATTCTATACTAATGAAAAACAAATCAGCTTGTAATTAAATTTTAAAAAATATAGCACTATTGTGTGTGGATTTTTAGCGTGTGCTTTCTCTTAGTCTTTTAGCTTTTTGAGTTGCAAAGAAACGTGAGATACGTCAATCCTTTCTCCCACGTTCTATTTCTATCTCCCCCTACACATTCTTTGCATTTAATTAGGCGCTTGTGGAGTAAAAAGCTAAGTGTATTCGAGCTTAATCAAAATGAACCTTTTTTCAAGATATGAAACCTTTACAGCCTGTATCTGTATAAATGGGTTGTTAACGACTAGCGTTTAAACCTCTTGTATTTCAAACGATAGTTGAATGTGTTATTTGAATAATTAGATATTTAAAATCTGTGCGTCGGTAGCACAGCGGTTAGGACTCTCGCCGACCATGCACATGGTCCGGGGTTCGATCCCCTGCCGACGCACACCCGATATCTATGGTCGGCCTGAATTTGGGCTACCGATATCCAAGCTGAAAATTCCATACTTGTACTGAAAATACGGTGTGGAATCAAGCTGTAAATCAAAATCAAATCAAATCAGGATAACACATTTTCAGTCTCATGGACGAAAACAGTAGCACTGTTAATGGCTCAAGTCATAAACGTTCTAAATAAATGGTGCTATTAAATGCTAACAAACATAAGGAGTAAAGTAGATCAAGCAAAGTATTTTATTCGATTAATTCTTGAGCTTGTCTGAATATATAATTAGATAGATACTTAAAATCTGGTTTAACAGGAGGAAATGAGAGGACTCAAAACATAGGGAACTGGTTAAATGTGACAGTCCATCTTTCAAGATTTCAAAAATTCTTTGGCTTGTAAAACAACATATAGTCATAATGCAGTAAGTAGCCCATTAAAATTGTAATTCTTGCCCAGTATACTTGCAACCAGTAGTGAGCATTTCGTCATTCACCTTCAGAAGATAGGTACATAGGGTGACGTAATACAATTCGCTTAAAATTATATTGTAAGATAATAGATAATTGGTTCTGCCAGTATGTAAACATCCTTAAACGGCCTTTCATTAGGACTTCTAGAGATCTATTTTGAAACAGATGACCCATGATCATTTAATTGCAGTTCTTTCACGGATTTTTCATGGATTTGATTAGTTTTAAACCAGTTTTGGCAGTGAAAGTGACAAGAGGTGGAAAAAGGGGAAATAATTGTTCCCTTCACAATTTTTTTTAATGGTCCATCATAGTTATGTATTCCATAGTATTTCCATTGAAAAATAAATCTTATCTTTCAGAAAAGTATAAGTAAACAACGTTACCGTAACGTTCGTAAGTGGAATAGGCTTACTTGAAGCAGTGTTTGCGCATATAAAATATTTATTAGCCTTTATTAACTCCCCAACAGCTTTTCTGAGAACAAGAATTGTTGTTGTTGAAACCTCGAATATGATGGAAGCATGGTTATAAAAGTGTTACAAGTTTTTTAATTGTGTGGCAAAATCGTATAAGCCTTTAGACAAATTATTCAGCTGGTTAGTGCTTAGCTTGCAGGATGATGCATAAATTGTCATTTTAAAAAATGTCAAGTGAATAACCTTGTAATAAAATTATGTGTAAACTTCCAATGTGAAGAGATTTGTTTTGAAGTCTGAAGTTTACAACTATCATTTTAGTTTGCTAAACACTTGTTGCAGGTATTAATTTCTACATCTTGCATACCATGGGCGTTGGTCTGAAAATACGGAAAATTCAGTCGTTATTTCCTCTTTGAACTCATCACATTTGATTTTAAGGTACAGCATAAGGTCAGTACTTTATACCTAATTTTTCACACTAGTAGAATTTTACTCTGACTATTTTTCTCATTCACTCACATATTAAAATTTTAATGAGCTGTGAGAAGCTTAGAGGAATACATATGCTCAAAAAAACTATTAAGTACTAAATACTAATCCAGCGAAATCAAAATTTCCTGGAGCTTTTCATTTAACAAGATTCTTTTTATTCAGTATTTTTAAGGGTATTTTATCCAAATTAATTTCGGTAGAAAGTAGTAAACTTAGAAATAAAACATGCTAAATTGTAAGAGACCTACAAGCATTTGGGCTTTGTGTTCATGTTAATTTGTTTCACTTGGTCTTATTATTCCGGAAACTTACAGTTATATCATGACTTTTAGTGACTTTTATCTGTTTGGTGCATATAACCCTCTACATATAATATTACAATTTCTGTCAGCTGAAACTATAAGACATGGTTGGCAGTCAATTTTTCTCAAAATTCATATTCCACTTTTATTTATACTGCTTTTATTGAGGTTCATTATAGGTCTGTCAGTCATACATCCTTTTTGTAACTAAAACCTGGAAGCTAATAATAGGTACTACTAAAATTGCATTATTTAGTGATTATTTTAATTACCCCAGACAATATTAGTTGATCCACCCAAAACGAAACACAAGGAAGAAATTGTTTCTTCATTTTGGACATCAACTTGTATAGGTAATTTCACAAATTTTATGCCATAGAGTGATTTATTTCTCATGAACAATAGGTGAATGTCTCCACTAATTTCCTTAGCAGATTAGGCTAGTTTAATCTTTAATCTCCTCAAGAGTGCTTTGCTTATTT